GAGACGTATACGGCGTCTCTATGTCACTCCTCCTCAGTCCAGATATGCTCACTTCCTGTTCACTGGTTGCAAATAAAACAAGATGGCGACGGCGAAATCACCAAATGGGAGACTTCAAAACGTGTCGGTTGTTTGATACAGAAAGACACGGACGCCTACATGTACATATGAGTTAAGAGAGTTATATAGTTTTCATTAATACCTGTACTTATTACAAAGTACTTTACTGGAATATTTCTATTTTATGCTGCTTTTTATTTATACTTTTCACAACATGTACCTTCACTACTTACTACTGCTACATTTTTCTATTACTGTTACTTGAGTAGGATGTTGAATGCAGGACTTTTACTTTATTATCTTCACATAGTTGTATCACCATTATTACTATTTCTATTATTACTGTATTCAGCTGCTTCAGACGCTCCGTAATAAAAAGCTGGACTTTAATACTGTTTTTATCAAATAGAAATGTGTCTCATCATTGATCTCTTTGTGAAGTCTGGTGATCATTTCACTGACACCAATTGGTCGATTTCCTGCCATGTGATAATCAGTCCACTACTACTGGGTACTATATATATATATACTGTATATATATATAATGTAATATACATATATAATACCCAGTTTTTACGATATTACATTGTATATAAAGTGAAGTGAGAAACAAGAAGCTCGATGTTCATTTCTGAAGTTATGCAACATGTGAAGCTGTTTCGACAAAAATAAAATGCTGTGTCAGCAAACGGAAATAAAAGTCCTGATGTTTGATGTTCTCCAGAAGATCAAACCAGACGACCCACAATCCTTTGCAGTCTGACTCAGTTCTCATACATTCATGATTTCTCTGCACATGATATTATTTTAGTCATTATTAAAATAGGATGAACGTTTTATTTTCATTATCCATTATTGTCTTATTTTCTGAGCGACCGACAGTCTAAAGATTAATTATCAAAGAATCTGCAGAAGTTATTAGAGAACCACACATTCAGTGTGTGACTCATATTTATATGTAATTATTCAAAGACACGCCCATAAATCTGACTCAATATATACTTCAAAATAAACTGGCTCCATGGTAACATTACACTTCCTGTTGACATCCTCCAAAGCATTATGGAAAATGTTGTTTTGTTGCAGGAGACCAGAGAGCAGAGGATCACCCAGTACCACGAAGAACCTGATACTCCGTGTGTCCTGGTGAGATCTGTTAACTTAGCCTCAGTCTATTAGCATGACATCACGACCTGTTAGCTTTAGCCTCAATCTATTAGCATGACATCATGACCTGGGACCTGTTAGCTTTAGCCTCAATCTGTTAGCATGACATCATGACCTGGGGCCTGTTAGCTTAGCCTGTCTATTAGCATGACATCATGACCTGAGACCTGTTAGCTTAGCCTCAGTTTAGTAGCATATCACGACCTGAGACCTGTTAGCTTTAGCCTCAATCTGTTAGCATGACATTATGACCTGAAACCTGTTAGCTTAGCCTCAGTCTATTAGCATGAATCATGACCTGAGACCTGATAGCTTAGCCTCAGTTTATTAGCATATCACGACCTGAGACCTGTTAGCTTTAGCCTCAATCTGTTAGCATGACATCATGACCTGGGACCTGTTAGCTTAGCCTCAGTCTATTAGCATGAATCATGACCTGAGACCTGTTAGCTTAGCCTCAATCTGTTAGCATGACATCATGACCTGAGACCTGTTAGCTTTAGCCTCAGTCTGTTAGCATGACATCATGACCTGAGACCTGTTAGCTTTAGCCTCAGTCTGTTAGCATGACATCATGACCTGAGACCTGTTAGCGTTAGCCTCAGTCTGTTAGCATGACATCGTGCCCTGTGATTGGTTGTCCTCAGGGTCTGAGGGAGGGGTCTCTGCTGCTGGTTGAGGGAAACAAAGCGACTCTACTGGGAACCACTAAAGCCAGACTGTTCACCAGGTAACACAAACACAGTCGGTCCACTTAGAACCTGAAAGCTCACCGGTGCCACCAGCAGCAACCGTGATGTGTTTGTGTTTTTTAGGGGAAAGCCCCCGGTGGAGTATGAACCAGGAAGTGATCTCAGCTACCTGCTGACACGCTGACCAATCAGAGGACATGAAGGTCCTTAAGCTTTTATGATGTTCTGGATGACGGAATGTAGAAAAAGTGATTAAATATTGAAAGAAAACTTTGTTGTGTCTCTGTGTGTTGACTCAAGTTTGTATTTAAATACAAATTCAAGGTACTTGTACTTCATACTGCATCTCAAAGAGTAGAGTGGTCCTTATTGAAAAGTATTGTCGTTTGTTAGTGTTTATTATTGCATCAAATATAATTCAACTTGGTTCCTCAGCGTTGCATGTTGGGTAATTTGTGTCATAAGCCTGATTTCTATTTTAAGTGATAAGCTTTCTGCTAATTACACAGATTTCCCATCATGCAACTGTTACAAACCAAAGTGATTTGCAAGACAGGAAGTAGTATTTTTGTGGAATGAACCTTTAAAACTTTATAAAGTGTTCCAACAATGTGATAATATTCTGATGAAAACATCATTTGAATGTCTCGTTTAATTGTTTTTGCAGATTTTATTATTTTTATGTCTCATTAAGAGATCACAGCTCATGTTTCAGATGCAACACAATAAAATAATATCAAAGACAAATCAAATATGAACAAATCAGTTTATTTCAGTTCAAAAGGTGAAATCATCTCTTTATCAAACAGTTATTTTTTTATTCTCTAGGTGAAAGAATACGTACATCAAAAATAGTTCATATTTTATTAGTTTAAACGCCGACTTCTTGACGTTTACGACGACGTATCAGGATCCCAGTAGGTAAAAAAATAATAATTATGGAGCGGGGGAGGGGATTAAAGTCGTAGATTTTGGAAAGGTGGAAAATATTTTGTGTTTATCAATCATCAGACGCTACTGTTAAACTCTGCTAAGTGTTCATCAGATTTATTATATTAGTATTTATTTATGCTTCGAAAAGAAGAAACGTGTACATGTATCTTCCAGGACCTTCGTCTCATTACCGTAATAACACTACGTTAGGAGCAACACAAATCGTACGTTAGCAACCAAGTCGGTCATAAACATCAGATTCAAAGTAAAAAGAGTGAAAACTGAAGTCCAACAGTAGAACCAATAAAACCAATAGAACCAGTTCATCCTTAACTTCTGCAAAACAAAGCGATGACAACAAACAAACAAATAAAAAGTGTTTCCGTGGAGTTATTTCATTGTGATTGTTAATTGGATTAAAATATATTTTTAACAATTATCATTTATTCATGATGGAAACCCAATATGGGTACACACACACACACACACACACAGCAAACCAAAGCTGTCATTAATGAAAAATATCTAATAAAAAAACAAAGAAAGAACAAAGAAACTCTGTTAAGCCTCGCCCTTAATGTTAATGTTGCTACGCCAGTCGACCCGTCTGTTGTCGTACGGTTTACGATGATGATGATGATGATGGCGACAGCAGATTTAACACGAGTAGAGACCAAATTTCAGAAAAAACACCATCGCCTGAAATCTGATTTTAAAAGTTGTTAAATCCACAGATTTATCTTTGTTATGTCTAATAAGCTAACTAGCAAGCAAGCCGCCATTTTGGAATGATTTCCGCACATACTTCAACACTTTGGGTCGAGAAAGTAACACGTTCTAAAAGTAAATCATTGCGCCTCACGTTGGTTCACATATTTTCTTGCTTTTGCTTTTTTTTGGCAGTTGATGTGAAAATAAACTGCAGCGACAGTAAACATATTCATCGTACTGTTATAAAAAGTTGAGAAAAGACGCAGCAAGAGAAATAATTAAGACGATAATAGCCGAGAGGACGCGGTGACATGAGGCCAATAAAGTCTCTAGTGATCAGACAAAAGAAGAAATGTTACGCTTAGGGTTTAGTATCATAACGTTGACCCGGTAGCTAGCTAAAATGCTAGCAGAACAAAGTAATGCTTTATTCTTCTTTGAATGATCTGAATTCGGACAGATAATCTGTTCGTATCAGGAGACAAACCTCCGGTTCTTTAAAGTGAAGTCAAAGCTTCGTGTGTTAAAGCTGCATTCTCTCTAGTGTCCACCAGGGGGCGACTCCTCTGGTTGTATAGAAGTCTGAGAAAATGACTCTACTTCTCTCTTGATTTATTACCTCAGTAAACATTGTAAACATGAGTTTATGGTCTCAATCTCTAGTTTCACGTCTTCTTCAATACAGCATGATGTTCATTTAGTACATTATGGTCCATTTAGAGTCAAACAGACCATAAAGCAGGGGATGCTTTAGGGCGGGGCTACACAGTGATTGACAGGTCTCTACCAGAGATGTATACACCGTATCTACGTCACTCCTCCTCAGTCCAGATATGGTCACTTTCTGTTCACTGGTTGCAAAAAAACAAGATGGTAACAGCGAAATCGCAGACCTCAAAGCTTCAAAACATCCACAAACCAACGAGAGACGTCACCGTGAGTCTGTGGTTACTACTGTAGGAAGTAAGCTAGCTCATGTTTGATCACTTATTCTCTAAAAAACCTTCTTGTACGTCGTTGAGAAACACTGACCGACCTGTCGACCCTCGCTGTGATTGGACGTCACTATTCAGGGGGCGGGGCTTAGCGAACTGTTTCAGTTTAATTTTTTACAAACAGTTTGCATTGAACATAATTTACAGCAAAACAAATTATAGATCGTGTTGAAATGAGCCGGAATAAATTGTTGTGATTATCATCATGGTTTTGTAGAAAATACTGAAAACACACAAAAAACAGCATCAACCCCCCCCCCCCAAAGCAAAGAGAATATATCAGAGTAAATATATTACTGTAACATTAAATCATCAGAAACTAAACCATCTTTATCCAAAAACAGACACGTTTCACTTAATGCTGACTAATCATATTTCATAACGCTGAGTCATTGCTGAAAAACACAATTAATTAACAATTATTACCCACAATCCCTTGGTTCGTCACCTCGTCTGTATTTCTAACATCTTTTTGTTCTCTGTTGTATTTTTTGAAAATAAGTTAATTTGCAAAATAAGTTTAATTATTTTCCGAGTATTTTGTTAGTTTGTTTTAGTTATTGTTGTGAATATTTAAAGACTGGTGTTAATGTCTCTAACGTCACTTCAGTGGATTAAAACTCATTTTAACATTTAAACTGCATCCTAAACTTTGTTTATTCAAATTCAAACGGTGATGATAACCTTCACTAACATGTTCGTTAATATCAAGAGAACATAAAGATGATCCCAGACCAGAAGCTCATGAACCTCCACCTCTAACCCTCGGACCAGAACCTGATCTCAGACCAGATCCTGAACTCTACAAAACACCTCAGAAAGTGAAACTACAGCTCTAATTATTTCAGTAGAAAACAGTGTTGATCTTAAATCTATCAGCAGTTGTGGACAAAAACATCAAACAGGGTGAATATGAAGCTGGTTAGCTTAGCTTAGCATAAAGACTGGAAACAGGGGGAAACAGCTGATTACAATCAATCAAACATAATGGTCTCTATGCTAAGCTAAGCTAGCCAGCAGCTGATTGCAGCTTAGCTTCATATAATATTAATATTGAGCTGTGAGGATCATCTGTGGAGCTTCTCAACATAATTCGTGAAATAAAAGAAAGAACCCGGAAGACTTTGCTGCCTGTCAGCAGTGGAAACAGAGGACACTTCTTCCTCGTTGGTTTTTACCCTGAATGTCTCTTTTCATGGACGTCTGTCCTCCTCTAAGCGTCCGTGTTCCCGTTCTCCTCCGGCTGGAGCTGCTCCTTCTCTGTGCAGTCCTCCTGGGGGGGGCGGACCCTCTTAAAGAAACCCAGCTAGAGGGAGAGAAGAAGAAGGAGGAGGAGGAGGAGGAGACGAAGAAGGAGAAGAAGAAGGAGAGGAAGATTGCGTTTACATGTTATTCATCACAGCAACTTAAACTTATACAAATACAAAGATATTTTCAAACAGCTGATTTTAGTAAACTGAACATGTTTGAATCCTTTTATTCAGTTTGTTTTGAATGTTTTTATCGTAGATATTCTGCATTTATTGAACAGCTGACAGAAGAGACCGAGGAGGAGGAAGAAGAGGAGATAATCTTCTTCCTGGTCAAAACGTGGTGCCACGTGTTGCACCTCTCCCTGCTTTACAGGTGTGTGGCAGACTGTGGTGTGTTCTGCATACGAGATGAGCAGCGACCACTTCTTTCTAACTCCAGATTTATTTAAATATGTATCGTGATTATTGTGAGAGGATCTGTAATGATGTCATGATTATTAATTAGAATATTTCTATTATAAATAATTATAACTAGTGAACTAAAGTATGAGCAACCGTTTCCTTTTATGCAGGAATCAGGACTCTATAGATATCGTAGGTTCTTCAGTTCTCACGTTTCTGAAACTTGACCGCTGACTCAAGTGACATCACTGGAGGCTTTGAACTCACCTTATACATGATGAAGATGAGCAGCGCCAGAAGCAGCAGACCGGCTAGAACCGCCAGAGCTACGACCCAACCAGGAACAGGCTGAGGAGCATCAGCCACCCACATCACAGACACACTCACCTGAGAACACACACACACACACACACACACACACACACACACACACACACACA